GGTTTCCTATAGACTGGCTCCATGTTGCAGGGAGATCATTGAATAATGTAATGCCTCCAACTGGCTAACCCATCATGTAAGAGCTAGAGTCAATTATCTGGGCTACATGTCTTGGAAACTAACAAAAGACAGAAATGAGATTTTCAGTATTTGTGTGCTGAGTGCCCTTGTTAGTCTGGCAATTGAGGCATTCAGTCAATACAAGCTAAAGGTGCCAGAATTTTGACAATTCTTTTAACAGCAGGAGCACATTTCAGATCACCAAATTCTAATAAGGATTTGTCTATCTGGAGCTTTTAAGACCCGTTAACTCCCAACAATACTAAAAAAGCCAGAGTTCTGGGAAAGTTAAGTGCCAAGAAACAAAAATATAGGGCTTTGTGAGTTTGTTTTGTTTGCTTAAGGACCTTGAACATTCTGAACACTGCTAAAACTGTTAAATATATTGGTCTTGAAAACATTTGGAATCTAAGTAGTCCCTCTTTTGTAGCACATTCTTTAAACGCATATTTCCAGTATGAAGCCTGATTAACTTTTAACAAACTAATCATCTGATTAATAGCAGGAAAGATATAAAATGAACACAATGTAGAGCTGAATTTAACAGTGTGATCATAAGATTTTTTACAAATCTATTACGGCAAGGAATACTCCCAGTTTTACACACAGGAATTTCCTGAATCTAATATGTCATTCATTCCTGGCAAAGTCTGTCCTTTGTCTACATATACTTCATTTTCCCCCCCAAACAGAACAGCAGTAAGTTACATAAGTGCTGGACTAATTTGTGCCAGATTTAACTACTGTATACAATAACTTTTAATGAAGCATTTCATCTTCCTATCTGAACAGTGGGCTAGATGAGCAACTTAATCATACTACCAATTACATCTGAAGTGTTATAACACACAAAATATTTTAAAGCAATGCACGACAAAATTTGCTCACGCAGATCTGTCTTTAGGTTTTAATAAAATGCCTTGACTCAGAGGAACTTTCATACCAGGGCAAATGTGAAAGGGAGAACATTTTCTACACAAACAAACAATCCTTTTACAGTACTTTGCTTGTAACTTTCTAAATCCCAGTTCCTACAGTTTTAAGTTATCTAGGCTCAATCCTTCAAAGTCAATGGGAATTTTGGGTGTCCAAGGACTGCAGTTTCTTTTAACTATTATAAACTCTTTCTTGTTTTCAGCCTAGCTCCTCTTTCTGCTTAATTCTGCAGTGAGGTCATAATGAAATTCACTGTCTGTTGCTGTAGAAGCAATCGTGATGTCACAGATTCAGCACTGTACTGTAGAAACATAGAGAAGATAGGCTAGGACAGAAACAACGTGAACTGAAACTCAATTAGCAAAAAACAGCATGGCTTGAAAAATATTTTTTTAATGTTATTAATGGTTATTTAAAAGTGCAGCCCACTGTGAAATTTCTGCCTAACGGGTTAAATCCTGTGCCATCCCAATGCAGAGTAATAGTCAGCTTGGGCACAAACTGTTTCTCGGGGGCTGCGGGAAGAAATACAAGCCCACTATGATAATCCTGAGTCTGCAGTAGCTCTTGTCACTTCTGCAGCACAGCTCCACAGAGACCAATAACTGCTGAATCCATGTAGCAACAGGTCTATGCCTCCAGCATCTGGCCATCCCATGGCCCAATCATTTTTCATCCTCCTAAACACCACTGCATGGGGACATATAGGAAAATCCCTTGCAGTGCTGGGGTCCATCACCCTGTGTGGGCTACCCAAATCCTGCTATTCCTACACAACAGAACCACATCAGTTCCACTGGGCCTGTGGTATTTTGAAGAGGAAGAGGCAACTTCTGCTGTTAACTGAAGGTTGTACCATTTGTGGGTGTGTTGATATATATCATCTAGAGCAAGCAGATTGATGCAAATTTGTTCAGGTGCACTGATCATGTGTTGCTCAATTATCTGAAGTTTATCTACATTTTGACTCATAAAGCCATCATGAGTTCGTATTGAACAACTCATGGCTTGCACATCTCATTACTCAGACACCAGTTTCTACCTGATACTTGCACGTCACTCATAAGTCTCAGACAGACTGCTTGCAGTATTTTGAAGAAGAGAAATTTCCCCTTCACAACAATACTTGATTTTAAATGCTATTTTATTTTTTATTCTAGTTATCTGATAATGATGCAGCTTTTATCTTAGTGTTAAAATGCTGCATGTTTCACGATCTTAATTCACTAATACTGACAAGGTTCCAGTTTCTAGACTAGTTATTCACATAATAAACATTTGTAATGAACAAAATACATTTAATAACTGTGTGCAGATAGGTCTATGGAGTGAAACTACAGATCTTCATATACAGTACTTCTTTTTCCAGGTGTATTTACAAAATAAAAAAAAAAGTAATCCTTTGATCTCAAGAAATGATAAGATCCTCCACTGTGCTTGGTAAAGGAATCAAAACTTTTAAATCTTTGCTCCTTCCTATACAAACAAGTCAGTCTTCATTAAAAGAAAATTATTTCAAAACACTCCAAAACTATACTTAAAACTTCACCTACTCTAAAGATACCAATGAAAACAGAGGTATGCTTTTAAACCAAATTTCTCCCATCCCAGAAGAGCTACTTCTTGAACTTGCTTTTTATTTTCTACTCCAACAGATGGAAAGAAGGTGTACTGCAGAGGTGCCAAACTCACTGGTACATAATGACCCAACCTGTCGCATCTGAAATGCTGACTGTGGCAAGCGCTGCAGGCTTCAAGAAAACGTAATTAAGTCCTGGAACATTCTTCCAGATAAATTTCTATTAAAACTAAATATTCAAAAGTACATGGTTAAGTACTTGTTGCTTGGAGGTAATGAATTATTCATTTGATCTTATAGTAAATATTTTAACTTGTAATATACCTGTAAAATACCAGATAGAGGCTGCTGTGCATTTTAATCTAAGCAAAAGAAGTCTGTATTTGCATGCTCTTTTCAGACATTTTGTTCTTTGTGATTTTGCTGAATTTAAAGTGTTCATGAAAATTGGAGGGTTCAAGAACAGAGCCTCTTCTTACTGGATCACTGTACATGGAGTGATCCCAGCAGGGACAAAAATGCCACAGGTATGTCTTATATTTAAGTATTTCCAGGATTTTAGTTTCTTCTACACAGTCTAGGCTTTCATTTAAACAGATAGAGGTCAAAAGTTTCAAATGGGGAATGTCTAAAACTAGGCACCTAAATCCATACTTACGCACCAAAATAAGTGGCCTGAAGTTCTGACCACCCCCAACTCCTACTAGTATCAACAGAAACAGCGTCCGCTCAGACAGTACACTAAATCAAGTCACTTGTTTCAGCTGCCCAACCGTAAACACCCATATCTGAAAATTTTAAACTAAGTTTCTAGTCCTCTGTATTACTAGATGGCCATCAAAAAACTGTCACTATCCAAACAACGGAACCAGCACAGTTGTGAACTCCAGTCTACACCTCACCACTAACCTCAATGGAGGTCTCTGTTTGGAGTCCAGTTGAGATCTAAAAGACAAACAGTAAGGTAAAACACCCCTCCCACTTAAAAAAAACAAACAAACATGGTTTTTCCTAAGCTATTTTTAGAATGTAAACCCTTTGCCTACCCAGTCCTTGGAGTAATAAGACTCTACTGCCACAATGCCTGGAAAAGAAAGAGAATGAGAGTTTCTCTATCCATTTACCTTTGCATTTTAAAAATTACTCCCAATCTCCCTTCTCCTGTTGCAGCTCCAACATGGAACCTCAACTCAAGACCCTAAAATGGGCACATGGCTCACAGCACGTACTTCATATTGTACTTTAGCTTCCCAAGCCTATAAGAGATTTGGCGTCACAAAAGTATGAACGGTCTTCATTTTGCTGTCTAATGTTGTATTATTTGAACTGATGCACAAATATTGGAGGTGTTTTTGTTAAGGTTACATTCTCACCTAAACTGCAGATCAGTGAAGTTTCACATCATCATGTACAGGTACACCTGCTATAAAATTGTCCATTTGTTAAAGTTCATAAAGTAAGATTAATGATAAACAAAGAATTCTACATATTTGAAAGAAATAACTCAAAAGAACTTTCCAAAACTCTCTGCACAATTGCAGGGCTAACCGAAATCAGCAATAAGTTTAAAATGCATAACCATTTACTAGTAAAACAATTACACAGTAGAGGACAGTTTCTATAGTTTCTATGCTTCACAAACATTCCTAGCAAAATTCCCTCTAAGTTTCTTCAAGTTTTCCAGCATCCCTGGGCACAAGCTGCAAGGATTAATAAGCCACTTAAAACTGACCTACACATTATATAAAGCACAATGTTGAATATGTTAAGATATAAAGGCTTATAACAGAGGCAGTCTTTGTTCAAAAACTTAGGTTTGGGTATTCAGAATTACTAGTCACAATAAGGAAATCCTTGGGCCTTTCTTGACACTTTGGAAATAGGGCTTGCAAATTGTATTTCTGCATCTGTTAGTATAAGGCCCCCCCCAAATGCAGTCCTAAGTGGTCACTTCTCCTGCTTATGCTTAACACACTGAACTAGAACCCTACAAATTCCCACTCCTTGTCTAAAGTTGGTGGGAACATTACATTATCCACTGCCACTTTCATAATGAATAGGTCTGCCAAAAATCAGCTGTGTTGGGCAGAGTGGATATGCAAGACAAAGGAGTTCTCTCTTTTCATTCCCTCTCTTGTGCCTGCGGAGATCAAAGGGTATATATGGCTCCTTGCCCATTCACTCAAACACTTCTGTCATACACCTATGTCTCTGGAGATGGGTTCCTGTATGTGAGAGGCAGAGCAAAAGGATGAGGTGAGATCAGGCAGGCAGCATCCTTACCTGCCCGAAACCTCATACCACAATCCATATATCAATTTAGTGCTCATTCGACCCATATACTCGAATTGGTATCCAGTCCACCCTTGCACCATGTACCAAAACTAGAACTCAGCTGACCATGGGTCCCATTCCAGTGCCTCACCTGACCACATTGGGGTGCTCAAAGGTCTCCAGGTGCCTCAATACTGCCACCTCACGGATGGTGGAGAGTGGCATTCCCTCCTCGCTTGTCTGTACCCGTACGCGCTTCAAGGCTACAAAACGACCTCCATTCTTCAAGTCTCGGGCCTTGAATACCTTCCCATAGGCTCCTTCACCAATCTCAGCCACACATTCATACTGCTGGTCAGCTAGGCTCATGCTGTCCTTATCCATGTTGGTGCTGCTTCTTCTCTTGTGTCTGGAGTGCCTCAGGTCCTGCTGTTGAACTGGCTGCTTCCTGCAAACTAGAACTTTGCTACTGCTGAAAATGCACTGCACACACCGTTTGCAGAGCTGCCACTGCTGGAGGAGCAGGCAGGATGATTTCACCCTCCTGCTCCCTTGTTCTGCTTCAATACAGTCCCCAAAATGCCTTCTCTCTCTCAGCCACCAGCAATTATCATATAGACTTTGGGACCATTGTCTGGGTAAAGCCAGTTAGATCTAAGGGACAAAAAAAACCAAACATGAGAAGTTCATTAGTGCTGGGGTTGTCTCCTCTCCAGCATCATTTCTCCCTGTATATAACGTGCATCTGCTGCATCTTCAGTTCACCTACTTTACATGCTTTAATAACTGAGAAAAACAAACAGACTGACATACGTTATTTCATGAGATGGATGTATGCAGGACACAATATGATGCAGATGATGGGAGCAAGTGGAATGCTGTAGGACTGCAAGACATGACCAGCACTGTATATGTTACAGAGTAGGTTCAACAATGCATAGGGAGGGGTAGCAAGTCAGTGCCAAGGGAAAGGGTGGGTACCAGCTCAGTGCTGAGGATAAGGGATGGGATATAGTCCCAGGGCAGGGGATACCAGCTCAGTGTTGGGGATGTGGGTTGAGTAAGCAGTCCTACAGAAGCAGGTAGCAGCTCAGTGACAAGGATGGACAGAGTCCTAGGGCAGGGGATAGCAGCTCAGTGATGGGAGGGCAGAGTCCCAAGGTAACGAAGAGTCCAGGGGAGGGGGTAGCAGGTCAGTGATAGGGGTAGGGGTGGGGATGTGCCCAGGGGAGGGGGTAGCAAGTCAGTGACGGGGGCAAGAGGGGAGTGCCCAGGGGAGGGGATAGCAGATCAGTGACGGGGGTGGGGAAGTGCCCAGGGGAGGAGGTAGCAGATCAGTGATGGGGGTGGGGAAGTGCCCAGGGGAGGAGGTAGCAGATCAGTGATGAAGGTGGGGATGGGGGTGGGGAAGTGCCCAGGGGAGGGGGTAGCAGGTCAGTGACGGGGGGAGTGCCCAGGGGAGGGGTAGCAGGTCAGTGACGGGGGTAGGGGTGGGCATGTGCCCAGGGGAGGGGGTAGCAGGTCAGTGACAGGGGCAAGAGGGGAGTGCCCAGGGGAGGGGGTAGCAGGTCAGTGACGGGGGTGGGGGTGGGGAAGTGCCCAGGGGAGGGGGTAGCAGGTCAGTGACGGGGGGAGTGCCCAGGGGAGGGGGTAGCAGGTCAGTGACGGGGGTAGGGGTGGGGATGTGCACAGGGGAGGGGGTAGCAGGTCAGTGACGGGGGCAAGAGGGGAGTGCCCAGGGGAGGGGGTAGCAGGTCAGTGACGGAGATGGGGGTGGGGAAGTGCCCAGGGGAGGAGGTAGCAGGTCAGTGATGGGGGTGGGGAAGTGCCCAGGGGAGGGGGTAGCAGGTCAGTGACGGGGGGGAGTGCCCAGGGAGGGGGTAGCAGGTCAGTACCCGGAGGGACAGCAGAAACGCCCCCAGCCAGTGGGCAAGGGAGTCCCGCGGGGGAGGAAGCGGCTCAGCGCCCTGCCCCGCGGAAGGGAGGCACCGCCTGGCTCCGGGAGCAGCAGCTGGCTGCCCAGCCCTAGGGAAGAACGTCCCGCGAGGCCAGGCCGCTGCGTGCCTCAGGCGGAGGGGCGCCCCCGCTGGCGGGACTGCTCCGTGCCTCCCACGGCGCGCGTGTGAGGTCGGGGAGAAGGGGCCTGGCGGCGGCGTGCGCCTCAGGCTCCGCGCGCCCCACGGCGGCGCTTAGTAGCGATCCAAGGGATCGGCCAGAGCCGCTATTGCTGACCCGCCGAGCGCTGCGCCCATGGAAAGTTACTGCACGGAGAAGAATGCGTGCACCGGAGGGGGAGCCCCCAAACAGCCCCCACCACCGGGGAAGCCCGCAGGCGGAGCCCCCAGACACCCCACCACCACCAGGCCAAGGCGCCCGCAGTGGGAGCCCCCAGACAACCCCCACCACCAGGGCTGCATGCGCAGAATCATCCCCTAGAAACAAACGTCTTCTTATGACTGCCTGCTCGGGAAATCCCCTCGTACAAATCTCCCACCAAGAATGCCTGCGGGATTGGGGGGGGGGGGGGAAGAAGGGCAAAACCACCCCCCGAGTAAAAATACGTGCAAGGAGGGCCCCCCCAAAGCAACCCCGAATCGGGATGCACGCGGCAGCAGACGAGGACTCCCCCGACAAGAAGCACTGGGGGATCCCACTGAAACACCCGAAAATAGAACACAGGCGTGAACGGCCCCCCAGCACAGACTCGTGCCCAGGCAACATGCACGGCGGTTCCCTCCCCCCCGAATACATGCAGGAGGGGGGCGGCAGAAACTGTACCCCTACCGCCAGGGCTGAACGTCTTGGTGTGGGGGGGGGGGGCACACTGCAGGCTCCCCAGAAAGCCCCAGTCACACCGACCAAGGAAGAGAAGCCCCCTTAGCCACAAAACCACCCAGCCGGGCAGGGGCTGTCTGCGGGGCGTTCGCAGTAACACTATATGGCAGGAGAAGCACATGGCCACTTCCAATTACCTGCTCCGCTCCACAGCTGCCCCGATCGGCGCACGAGCCCCAGATAAGCTTCCGCGGGGGGGGGAAATAACCTTCCCCGAGGCAAACCTCCCATTCGATTACCGCGAGCGAAGACCCCAACCGGGTAATAAATATTCACATGATGATGCCGCCAGCAGGTCTCTGCCGCGGCAGCCCAGGCCACACAGGTAGCTGCAGCAGCTGCTCCTCCTCGGCTCTGCTGCTGCCCTCAGCTCGCATCCTCCTGCAGCAGCCTGGCAGCACCTTCCTGCCAAGGGATCTTTAACTCAGAACCAGATCGGCTTCGGCCTCCCACCCCCACCCCTGCCTGGGAAAATAAAAATAAAAGCGAGTCAGCGTCCCGTGTTCACCAGGCTGCAGCTGATCAAAGCCCTGCAGGCTGCACCACGCAGCTCCCCCGTGTACGGGGCTCGTAAACCAGCCCTCCGCGTCGCCCGCTGCTGCTGCTCCTCCAGCCTCTGTCGGCTCCTGCTTGCTCTGAGAACAGCGGCGGCAGCGCAGCTCGCACTCCCCCCCCGCCCACCCCCTCAACTTTTTTTCCCCTCGCTTTCCCACGCTGGCTGAATGTGACTTGACCCCGTTTCAAAAAAGTTTGACATAGTGCTTTAACATTTCCGCATTCCTCCCCGACTACAAAGGCTGCAGCCGCCTCCTTCTGCTTTCTGTCTCTGCTCTCTGTCTTCACACTCAATGAAATCCTTCATGTGCCTCTGCCAAAGGCAGCCACATACCGCAAGGGTCGCCGCTAGCGCAACTGCCAGAGGCATGCACCCCGGGGGTGGGGGGGGGGGGGGACATCATTAGGGAGCAAAAACCTTAAGGTGATTCTTATTTGCACTGAGGCAGCGTCAAAGGACCCCCGTCATAACTGGGGCACTGTTGTGCTAGGTGCTGTATAAACATAATTATTTATACTACAGGAGCCCCCAAGGCCTGATTCAGAGGTAGGGCCCCATATACAAGAGCAGTGCAAACACCGATATTACTACTTGGGCTTTTAGTGCTTTTCATTCACAGATCTCAAAGGAAGCATGGTCCCAGCAAGAAGATCGTTATTAGTATTTGCTAAGCAATCAGAAGGTGTTTGACCTTGACAAAACAAAGAGCAGACCCTGCCCCAAAGAGCTTCCTGTGGGATGGGGGAAATGAACACTTTGCAGGACTCTTCACTGCTGCAGGGAACACTTTATACAAAGTTAATTCCTACAAATGTTGAAATTCACTGCTGAAGAATGCACAAAACAGATGCCAAACTACTCTCTCAGTGGGGGAAAACACATCTGGAATTCTTGATCCTCCTTCCCTCCCAATTGATCCATTCCACCAAATTCTTCTCAGAACCTCAAGGACAATTATGGAACTCAGAAACTCATCAGAATCAGTTCGTTTGGTGCTTAAACCAGCTGGGACCCGAGATCTCCCACTTATGTTTGGAGGTGGAGGATGGAAGGGAGGAAAACGGTACAAAGCATAATTAAATTCATGGAGTACAAAAGTCATTCTGTGCTGAAGTTTTTGCATCATACACAGTGTTATGTAGTAACGTCTTTATGTGCTGAAAATAACTCAGCACATATGGTTTTATGTACATAATATTATATAATTAAAAGACTTCCGCACAGAAAGACATGAACAGAATTATTTTTTTAACAACTTGACATGTCCTCTCAGCTGTCAGCTGAAATCAAGCTGGGGTGCTGGTTCTACCACCCATTCTGAAAAGTAGGGCAGATAAACTTCAAGGATCCATCCCTGTTTCTGACCAGTTTAGAAGCATCACTTGGACTGTGGCTACTGAGGAAAAAATTGAGCACCCCTGACTTCACTTGGGAGGAGAAATGGAATTTGTGCCAAAGAACTGGGACTCTTCAGCAAATAAAATTTTATGTGCTGTGCATACATTGCAAGATCTACAGGAACCAAATTTGTGCTCCTAATATACCTTATTTGATTAATAAAATTAGAAATTCCCCAAATGTTTTTGTTAAATTAATGTTAAGCTTGCTAAAGCAAGTGATAAACATTGTTAGAAAAACATATACCCAAAAGGTAGTTAGAAACCTTAAAACTTTAGCATATGTAAACGAGATAATCTAAATAAAGATTCAAATAAGTGTATACTTTTTATAAAAAAATTCTCAACATGAATATTGATATTACATCACATCTGTATGCACATTGCCTTGGCTTATCATTTCCATACTTTTCAATGTTCAGAGTTTTTGAACTGTAATATTCTTGGGGTTTTCCTCCCTTACTTTAACAACCTTGGACCAGATTCATATATGTAGGGCATAAACTACATCTCTGAGTGCAACAGTATTCACTTTTGAGGATGGACAGGCAGCAATATTTGCTGCTTTCCCTACTTAGAGGATTACACATGAGAAATGTAGCTCTAAATTTCAGCTGGGTCTTTCCTGGAACCCTATTGATGGAGACTGCCTGTGAGAGGCATTGAATCAGTTACATGTACAACTTCATATTCAGCATGTGCAATGTGTGAGGGATAACATTGCTATTAAGCCCTTATGTTTTCCATTTCCATTGCAACTTTTGTGTTCAAATTTGCAGCTTTAACATTTCACCATTACTAAGTTTTGCACATCACAAAACCCATCCCTAAAGCATTCTCTGTGTAAACACTTATTAGAGAATACAGTGTATGCTCAGTGTAGTATAAATGTTTTGTCTGCATGAATTTGTGAGGGTCCAATACTAATAAGAGGTGAAGCCATGAATAACTTATGCTACTTATGCTTAACTTATGCAAATAGATGCCGATAAACCATCTATACCATACTACTCCGTTATGAATCTGCTACATTGTACATGGTTTTATAGGATTTTAGGAATCTTTCAGAGAGTTTTAAAAGTGCTATGGGGTACTTTTTAATTTTTTTCTGTGTGTGTCTTTCCACCTGTAAGGCCAGCTGCTTGAGTTACCCTGCTCTGCAGGGTTCAGATGATTCCTACATGCCTCTAAAATGAGCTAATAGTTTTTCTGTACCTAAAAATTAAGTGATTTCAGGCAGAATTTCAAAAATACCTGGGTATAAACATGCAATTAAAAATGGGTGATACTACAAAACAAGTTTGCAGCACAGAAAACAACTGCTTGCCCACATTTGCAAAATTATTTGACTGTTTAAATCTTAAATAGATTTTAAAGTAATAAAGTTGTTTCATATAACATGCTTTGTGAAAAAATTATAAACCACCAAACCTGAATATATTGCCAGATATACAAATAATCCTGTTTAGTTTTTTTGCTTTTGAAAATATTTCTAAAATATCTGCTGTCCCTTTTTCATGAGACATTTTACATTTCAATGTTTCTGATTTCAAACACTTAAATACGTATTGTATTTTCGTTTTGTCTCTTAACATCAGGAGGCTTTGTAAGCCAGATAACAATACATTTCATATTGCCTTTTTAGTTTAAAATCTCTTCATTAATCTATATCTTTAAAAAAAAATCTGCATCCACTTTTGGCCACTAGTGTTGTGAAAGTCCATTAAATATTGCTGCTAAAAATAAATTCAAAGTAAGAATAGTTGCTAATTCTATACAAATTATTATGAAAATATTTGTTGTACTGAAAAATTAGCTCTTGGGGGTGCTCCTAAAAAGGAAGGAGAAATAGAGAAAGCTTTCACTGCATCTCACTTTCCTTTTAACCCATCAATTTTTGCTTTGTGAAACCCTATTTCTGAATTCTGTTTAGCTCCTAATACTAAAAGAACCAATTTATATGGAAAGATATTTAAATGAGGGCAATTTTCCGTATTTTATTGGTATTCAATATATATTAAAATATAATTAAATCACCTTAAAACTAGCACCTCAAAATCTTGTATCCTGCTTTAGTGACTACAAAACACATTCATAAATGAGGTCTCTAAGGTTTTGCTGGAAACAATGAATAAACTGATGGTGACAATAGGTGACAAATAATTACTGGAATTAACATGCTTTTATAGCAGTTTATTTGAATCATCTGGCATCATGCAGTACCACAGAAGTGCTATGAATAGTTTAAAACTCTCAGAAAGAAAGCTATGTTGGTTTGCTTAGTGTTTTAACTGTTTCAGGAAACTGCTAAAGTTTTGTTGGGGATTCCAGAATTTGGTGTTACAAGAAGTCCTCATACAAATCAGAGTGAAACTTACTCTTCAAAAGTACATATTTGAATAAAGGGTTTTGGAGGATAAGGCACTCTGTGTATACTGTTTTCATACTGATTTATCTTTGTTTTAGCCTGCATCATCTATCTTAGCTGATATGGTGTGGTTTTTACCCATTTAGTTAGGCATTCCTAGTTAGAAAATCCCTTACATAGTTGAGAAACTATTATTTGGCCAGAGTAGTCACAAATCAATTGAGTTGGTACAACAGATTGTGTTTATTTGTAGAATCCCCTGGTAGTCAGATTTTATAATATATGAGCACAAATTGTAAAATCATGATCAAAATAACCTTTAGCAAGTGTAAAAAGGTTTTGTAAATAAAACACCTACTGTTTATAATAATTACATACCCAGATATCCCCTAAAATAAGAACTTCATTTATCGCTGATTGTGTTGAACTCATATAATACATTCTTAATTTAATAGTAACTGCATTATACATTTGTGTGGGAAAATGTATAACAAATAGAAAACACTTTTAAAGCTACTTTTAAATAAAGTGTAGACATAATAAAGAAAAAATGTGGTTTTTGGACAAAATGTACCAGTGAGATTTGGTACAAGTATTAAATTATTTTAAATATTTATATGATCAGTATGCACATTCTTAATTAGTGAACCAGAATGCAAAAAAAATCTCTCATCCATATTTTCAGAAAAAACACACTTGGTTGTAAAAATATCCACAGAATGTTTTAATTAGTTCACATGTGATAGTGAAATACTGTTCTAATCTATGTAAAATGTATGTAACCACTGTATAATTGGCAATGATTAAGGTAACTTAAGCCAATTACAGAATGATTCTGTTTAGTTTATTTTTCTTTCAATCAGCGCCTCTGTTTATTGTTGATAATTTTGTGTTTGACAAACTGTATCTTTCCATTACTTCAGAAATAAACTCTACTGTGGGACTATTGTTTTTTTCTGGCAGAAAGAACCACAATATGATGCTATGCTATTCAATGCACACGTATTTTTCCATATTTGCTTGTATATGCTTTAGTAATTACAAATCGCAAGAGTTGTCAGTAAACATGCCATGTGAAAAGCAAGTTTACAAATAAGTCCATGCCTGCAAGCTTGCTCTAATAAAACTCTGAACTTTTTAATGAATGCATTTGACCACATAAATTATACATAACCTGCTCATCCTCTTCTTTAGACAAGATCTGGAGAAGACCTTATTTCTTTAGAAAGAAGATTTTTGCATTGTTTATTATGTACCTACTGTACTTTGCTATGA